TAAAACTATGATCCAAAAGATGTCTGATCTCCCAGAGGAGAGATTACGTGCGTGTCCTCCGTTTACTTACGTCGCAGTTGACTGTTTCGGTCCATGGGAAATTGTGACAAGACGCACCAGAGGAGGCAGTGCATCCTCTAAACGTTGGGCAGTCATATTTGTATGTCTTTCGTCCAGAGGTATCCACATCGAGATCATAGAGGAAATGACTACTTCGTCTTTCGTAAACGCCTTACGAAGATTTATATCTGTCCGTGGAAAAGTTAAAGAATTCTTTTCTGATCGCGGTTCGAACTTCGTGGGAGCTGTACGGGAACTCGGGATACCAGCTATATGTGTCGAAGATGTTGAAATAAAAACATTTCTAAATGATCAAAATGCAGTATGGAAGTTCAATACGCCTTACTCTTCACATCATGGAGGCTCATGGGAACGCCTTATAGGAACTGTTCGTCGGGCGTTGGACTCAATTTTGTATGAAGCTAGACATCAGAAACTTACTCACGAGCTATTATGTACATTTATGTTTGAAGTTATGGTGATTGTAAACTCACGTCCGCTCGCTCCTATTTCTCCTGATCATGAAGCTCCGAATATGATGTCGCCGAACTCACTTTTAACTCAAAAAGTTGGTGATTCAACTGAAGACTTCAGTGGTTTAACCATTCGAGATGCGTATTCTTCACAATGGAAATTCGTTCAAGTGCTCGCTGAGAAATTCTGGCATCAATGGAGGCATGAATATATACAATCGTTGCAGTGTCGTCGAAAGTGGCAACAGCCTCAAGAGAATATTCGGGTTGGAGATTTAGTGATCGTAAAGGAGAACGATTTACATAGAAATCAGTGGCCTGTCGGATTAATTGAATGCGTTTACCCGGGAAAAGACGATCTTGTGAGAAAAGTTAAACTTAGAGTAATTAAAGATGGTAAACCACATGACTATGTTAGACCAATAACTCAGGTAGTGTTTTTATGTCATAATTCAATTGAAAACGTATGCATCTTTTCATTAAGTTAAATTTGGATTTGGAAGTTATAGTGATTTTTGCGAAATCAGACGGGGAGTGTGCCGTCTCCTTATTTATGTTTCTGTCATTATATATTATTATCACATGCTTATCAACTTTCAATATATTTCTGTAACGTTGTTATAGTTAATTATTTTGGTAAATTTCGTTTCGGATAAAAGATCAATATTTAGTCTACTTTCATTTTCACTTTCTATTTTCGGTAGAAATCAGACTGTTGTTGCTTTTATTGTTTTGGATTCAATCCACCTTTTTTCTATGTTATCCATCGTTGGTAAACCAAAGTGTGAGTAGGATTGTGTTCTATAATGATTATATTTGTATTATGCATTGATATTTCTGCGATAAAGTGCACTTTGATGGTTTTTGGAGTGACAGTCTGAGCAAGTATTTTATGTAAACATCGCTATATTTTGAGTGTTTTCATTGCATAACTTACCGTTATATTGAGTCAATATGAGAACTGTTTAGCCTTTGTATTGTCAGTATGTGTAACATTGTGTTTTATGTTTGTTTCAGCTTTTTACCTCGTTTTCTTCTCAATAAATCTATGATACTGAGAACTGGTTATCTATCTGCAAAGATCCCTTGCGAAATAAAAACAGCCTCTTTCATAGTTCATAAAATCTTGATTTGAATTATGAACGTAATTAGTAGGCTATATTCTGCACAAATATTCCATGGAAGTATGTCAATGATTCCTCTAAAATCAGTGAAAGAGTTGTTGGATGGACCTGTATATTCAAATGGCCTAAACATCCAGCATGATTATATTCTCTCTATGACATGCTGCTGCTAGTACCTTCCATATCATCAACGATTCTACCAAAATCTTCAAGACCAATATCCTTATGTTTACAGCAAAAGACAGCTTATAGATAATATTAGTCCATGACTTGACCCTCAATAATCATATGAAAGACAAAATTAAGATTTTAATCATATAAATTTTGTTCTATTATATTTTTTCTATTGATTTTTGTTGATTTCATGCGAGTACCTAATAAATTGTCAAACCGTTTTGTTTTACAGGATTTACCTTTAACAATTATCAGGAGGATGTTTGTTTTTTATAATTTCAGCCATTTCATCACAAGAAATACTACATATAATTAATAATTATTACTAATGATATCTATTTTTATTAACTTATCAAATGTCTAGTCTAAAAGTTTTGAGGGGTCTACAATGGGAAGCAGTGTCCGCTAAACAAGTGAAAAGGATTAACCAAATACTACAGAAGATTTGTTCAAAGATTCGTTGGTCATGTCACTGAAGATATTGGCTCCTACGCTGTTATGTCTGTAGAGGTCAACCAACAATCAATAAAAGTGCTGATGACAACCATGTACCAAGGAGCGCACTACAGAGAAAAATATTTAAAAAAAATGAAACATCCAGGAGGCCAACTTTTCGTGGACACTGAAATTGAAAAGGCACCCTGTGATACATCCAGGGATGTCATAAGATAAAGCCGTCACCCGAACTTCACGCAATAGTTGATTATTCCTCATCTGACGAAGGTGAACCTATTCCTCACAAAGACTCCCAGAATGCACCTACGATCTATGCCAATCGTTGTGTCAACCAACAATATTTAATCAACTTAATATAATTTTGAAGAGTATTTATTCAAAAGATATAGCTGCTATAAAACCAAGGGACATTTATAATATACAGATAGAATCAAAATATATCAAACCAAAAGTTTTTAAGAAATGGGAGAATTACCTCGAGTGTCATTTTGATGACGAAGATATTAAAAATACTTCAAACTTTTAAAGATGTCTATTAACAATATCAGATATCAATGTTTTCAGTATAAATATGTTTATGATATTATATTTACTAACACAAAACTACTAAAAATATCTAAGAAGGAAAGCTCCTTATGTACGTTCTGCTCCTCTCATGTTGAAAGCCTTAATCATCTATTTATATTTTTACACCCAAAAAATTTGGAGTTTGGCTATATCTCATCTTAAAACTTTGAACCATTGATTTTAACCCTAAAAACGCGGATATTCATCTAGGGGCATATAAAGACATTTTTAAAAATGAAAATACTGTGATAAATTTGACAATAATATTAACAAAATATTTTCTGTATAAATGTAAACTAAGAGAGACACAACCCAATTGTAACGAATATATTAATTTTTTGAAACATGGTATAGAAATTGAATGTAAAATAAATAAATTTTAGTTTATATAAAAGTATGTATTTCCTCACATATATTTATAAATATTGAATATTAGTAACATATTTCGTTTTAAAAAATATCTTACTACTGATTACTTAGTATGCATATGTACACTTTTATTATTACTACTATTATTGTTTGTTTACAACTAATTATGTAATATTGTATGTGCTTATGTTGTAGATTTCATAAATAAACTGTATAAAAGCTCTAAAAAAAAACCAAAAAAACAATATTGAAGCGGCCACTACGAAAATATTCCACTAGCCGACTCTGAAACCGATGTAGATTTTCATAACCGAAAACCCTTTCCCTTGCAAAGAGTGCTGGACCTGTACGAAATCGAAAACTTACCAAAAGACGATTATGAACTGAACTTTTGACATATTGAGGAATGTTTTCTTTCAATTTTTATTTATTCGGTTTCATTTTAAGAGATCGTCGGGGAGAGAGAGAATAAAGAAGTTGCGCCAGAGTATTGCATTGGTTATATTGGAAACACGCAATAGATATCACTCGTAGTACTTATCTATCGAGAGCTAAACGAACTGACTCATCAGTTTTAATTACCTCCCTGACGTTCACTTCCTGTTATCTGGCAGTTAGCCATATTGTATTATTGTTTAATTCACTTACAATATATCAATAGAGTTTCACCTCAGTTGAGAGTTGAATAAGATTGTCCGTCCTTCGTCACAACTCGGTAATTAATGATGTTACTGCGTGGAACACCTGCTATTTCAGTCTTCAAATGAGCAAAATACTCTGAGATTGTTTTACTTGTAACTTTAGCACGTGACCTCTTGATGTTTTGTATCGCTCTTTCCGTAGTCAAATCTTTGTGTCGCTTAAGAAATAGTTTGGCCCATTAATAACCAGGTAAAATTTCATTGAACCTGCTTTTCGACCCTTTCTGTCAAAGTAAAAGTTAACAAAACATGTGATGTCTATCAAATCTAAAGGATAGCCCCATTTTCTGCAAGTTAGATGTACAGAGATGTGAGCCGACAAACTTGGGGCCTCCCCCAAGAAAATTTTCGAAAAATCAAGTCAAAATCATACAATTTTTATCATCTCTCACTTTAAAAATCAAATTTTTGTCTCATTGCTTCTCTGCTTGTTTCATTTTCAACATGTTCTTTGTATTCCCTCTTTGATAGATTTCGGGGAAGGGAGGGTTTGATTCTCCCAAATGTACAGGCCTAGGGTGGAGCAGACACTTTATTTAGAAATTAGGATTAAGGGTCTTGATATTGGGTTTTCTTCTGTTCTTATTCTGATCTGAAATTAGAAAAAATTATGACCACCAGCAGAGTCATTGACTTATTGGTGTGTAATAAACATACCAAATGAACAATATAAAGATATAGGACAATCCTGTCCAGCTGCAGAGTCATTGACTTATTGGTTTTCGGGGAAGGGAGGGTTTGATTCTCCCAAATGTACAGGCCTAGGGTTCTTATTCTGATCTGAAATTAGAAAAAAAATAGTATATATAGTATAGTATCTGTTATGTACTGATTGTTTTTAGTTTACTATGAACAATATTATCATTTAAGTTCTTATTTTTTGAATATGCAACTATCATTTTCTGCTTATAGACATGGGGGAATTTCTCTTGAAGGCTCTTATAGTGGGCATGAACTATCTTGATTGCTGGTTGTATTAAACGGGACAACAAAGGGTGCTATGCCTACATTATGATGAATATTAAGTCCTATAGGTCTTGCTGTATTCAATGTCTCAATCCAATGGGCCTCCCTAGATTGACGGAATTTGGTAGTTTCATCTTCGGGCAAGTCAATTTCTATACGCTCAATTGGGATTAGGGTGAGATCGTCTATTGAATGGTCGCCGAGGATGAAATGATTAGAAACAGGCTTATCTTTCTTTAATTTGATGTCTGACCTATGAGCGAGTTCGTAAATTATTCTTAGTTTCTCCTACATATTGTTTGGGGCATTTCTTGCATGAAATTAAATATATTACATTCGAATGTTCACATGTTAGATGTTCCTGGATCGGGTACCTTTTATTCGTAGAGTTGCTTACAAAATAATGAGTTTCTGATATAAAGGGACATGTTTTGCATCTACTGGACAAACATGGAGCACTTCTTAAACCTGGAGGTACTTCGGCATAAAGTCTGTTTTTAGCTGCTATCTGTGCTAAGGAGGAATTTTTTATGTTTCGTAAAAATCGTTTAGAGTACCCACGTTTTGAGAAAACAATCTTACAGGCTTGGTTGAAATCAGACGATCTTGTACAAATTCGATGAAATCGTAAAACTTGTGACTTAATTATACCAGAAAAGGTATGTTTTGGGTGAAAGGAGCTCTTGTGCAAGAGTTGATGAGTATCAGTTTCTTTGAAATACACTTTAATATCCAGTTTATTTGTTTCTGCTATGGAATCTCCCTTAAAGACTGTGGTATCGAGAAAGTCTATGCTTTTGTCACTCACGTTTGCGGTTAGTTTGATAGAAGGATGGTGGTTGTTGAGAATTTCAAAGAATTCCCAAAACTGTTCGATAGAATAAGTCCAAACCATAAAAATGTCATCCAAAAAGCGTCCGTAAAAAAGTGGGTCAAATGGACAGAGGGGCAACACCTCACGTTCCCACTCTGCCATGAAAAGGTTTGCGTACGAAGGGGCGAATCGTTTGCCCATTGCCGTCCCTGAAGTTTGTAAATATGTTTA